AAAATGAGGACATTAAATTTCTGAAGAATACTAAGAAATGATACTCACTGATTATTATGATAATCATCATAATTATTTTGTTATAACTATTGAACTGTGGATATAATGCAAATTATTTTGGCTTATGCAACAAATATAGCATAAAGTTAATTATTTTAGAAGTTTTTATTGAGAAACAATCATTGGTTGATTAATTAATTCTGGCTATGTCTACAAAGTGACCCAAAATATTTAATAAATCTAATGATATTAAATTTTGGTTGTAAGAAGCAAAATAAAAAAAACACAAAAAAACCTCAAGTGTATTAACCACTGCACCATAAAAGCATTTCAAATCAACTACAAATTTCAGCACTTGATTGAAAATGGAGAGGAAAAAAAATAAGCTACTTTAAGATTTTAGGCTTCATTCCAGGTTAATCTCAGAACCACAAAATAACATGTAAGAAAACCTGACATTAAAAGTAAAGTGCTGTCTACCAACTTCTTTGTAATGTTTAAGTGGTACCTATTTATCAGGTTTAACAAACTTAAACTAAGCCAAGTATGCCACAATTGGAGAGCTCAAATTCAGAGGCAACTGATAATATATTGGTCTTAGATTCCAAGTCACGGCTTTAACAAAAGTTCTGCTATTTCCCAAATTGTTGAATTGATATTCCCATTAAGAGTGAGAATATTAATTCTAAAACTTATAAAATTATTGAGAGAGGGAGACAAAAAAAAATGGAATAATTGTTTTTTGATGTTTAATCACAGTAATACAGTTTTAGTTTACTGGTATTTCAATTTTAGAATCTGTAAAATAGCTTGGAACATAACATTCAGTTTGTTTTTGTATTCCTATGAAGATGGATTTATATCTATATTACAATCATTATTTTTTTTAATGTAAAACAAGGTTTTATCTGCAGTTAGGCTGTGTAATTATTTTTAACAAGTTAGCCTTAATGTGTCAGTAGATTAATGTTTTTCCCATGAGCAACATTGTACAAGCCATTTTCTTCTGTTCAGTTCTTACTAACAAGTGAAATTTACCCAAATAGTGTATTGATAAGTGGACAGGTCTCAGGATTCAGTGAGTTTGTCTACTTGTAGATTTTTTTTGCTAAAATAAATAAGAGTTGCTAAGCTATGTATTGGAGAAAGCAGATAGATAATATTTTAACAAGTATAAAAAGTAATTGTAAATTAAAATAGTACAAAGGAAGTTATTTATTATAATCATAATTTTGGTTTCAAAATCAGTTGGTTTCAAATACTTTATAAAGGACCCCCCCCACCAACATTTTATTTGTTACATTTTTTAAAAAAATCCTTTACTTAATGTTATTAGCTATTTATTGTTATAAAGATTCAGTCCAAAATGCTCACAATGAGTAACTTTCCCTATATAAGCATTCAAATGCTATTACAATACAAAGCATTGAATCACTGATCATGAAACACTCTTTAATGGTCAGAACATTTAGCAAGAATGGAAGAGTCAAGGTTTTCAGATCAAGTCTTATTCAGTGAGCTCACTCCAGGGTTGTCCTCTTCGAAGATACAAGAACCAACTCAAAACAACATTGAAAAATCACTGGACTTGGGTTTGTGTTTCAAATGGTGGTGTTGCTTCATCACTGGAACCAAAAACTTTGAAGCGATCAAAAAAAGAAAAGGAAAATGTCAAATAACAAGAGAGAAATGCTAGACAAAAAAAAAAAAAAATAATAATATCAACCTCTACCAACATTACCATGCAGTTAATGTCATTGGAACTTCCATGTAAGAATTGGTGTACTTAATCATCAATGCTATCATCATAGAGGAAGTGATCAACAAAGAAGAAATTAAATTCTTGGATATAAGATAAAGCCACTAACAACTTTTTTTTTTTTTAAAAATTATGAGCGCAGGTTTGATTCAGTATTGATAGCCATATCAATTTTTAAAGTATTTTAAACATACAAATTATTAAATACCTTCTGTGAGTAATGGCTTGTTTATAATGTGCTCTGCATTAGTAAACATTTTTTCCAATTACCAGAATGATTATAGTAAGAGTTCTAGTGAAATAAACTATTCACTCAAAAAGTAATAAAACAAAATGTACTTTGTACTGCATTAATACACAAATAACTTTTTTTTGTTTATTTAATTGTTAGCAAACTGTTTCATACATTTCAGTGTGAGTTTCAAAATGGCCATTTGTTATCCTTGAACACTCCAGAGCTTTAAGGTTCTTTTTTTTCTTAAAATAATTTAATTCATTTCCTTTAATAATCCATTCTCGTTTTTGAATTTCATGATTTTCATCATCTTTTTTATTATCTCATATTTTATGACAACATGATTGTGTGTGTGTGTGTGTGTGTATATATATATATATATATATATATATATATATACACACTAAAAAATGAGCATACATAATGGAAAAAAATGCCCCAAACTTAAAAACAAAATTTTATCATCAAAATCTTTGCTATCATTAAGAGGAAAGATCAAAGGATGTTTTGATTATTTTTTTTTTAATCCTTTTTAAAACCTTCAAAATTTTAGAACCATTTCTTTTATTTAAAAAAATCTTGGTAAAATACATTTCTTTTTAACACCTGTTAGCCCTGTCTCACACTTGAGAAATTCATTTTTGCATAGCTTAAATGTTTATATTGGTTACAACCAGAAGTCCTTGGAGAATTTAAATCATGTTTATTTTGTAAAACAGGGCCCCCAGTTATAGAAAATCTGCTCTGAATCAGGAAATAAAAGATGCAATAAAACTAAGACATTAATTAGAAAAGCTTTTATGGACTCTATTGTCTTAAAAAAAAAAAAAAAAAAAAAAATCTTTATACATCAAATTTTTTTTTTTTCTTAACAAAAATTGTTTCATAGAATAATTTATAAAGTTTTAAATCTTAAAATTCTGTATTAATTTGTATTGATTAGGTGATATTGTTATTAAGTAAAAACTATATTTACTAATCATAAATGGAAAAGCTTATTACAATTCAGCGAACCCCAGTATTTTAAAAAGAATTTTGAGATTGTTTTTTTTTTGTGTGTAAATGTGCTGATTTTTGTAAATATGGACATCCATCCATGCCATTATCAAAAAATAAGAATGGTAACTATAGTAAATTTAAAACCAAAATACCTAAAATTCAACAAAACATTAGATTACTTAGAATATTTTCCTAAATTTTTAAGATTGCTGGGTAGTTAAAAAAAACATTAAATAAAAAAGACACTCAAGTAAATTTTATAGATATAACCTGACGAATGTGTTACTGGCAGAAAAAATTAGTTAAATTTCCAGGTGTTACTACCTCATAAAAACACCTACCTCAGTGTTAAAAGTCCCTTTCTCTGATATTTTAAACTAAAGTAATATTTGTTTCAAATCAGATTGATTAAATTTTAAATCAACTAATCTTTCTCAAAGTTTCAGAAAAGCATATTTTATTTTTGAAGGTCTTATTTGAATAATATGTTGTACTGAGAGAATTGTAAATCAGCCATTGAAAAAAAAACAAATTCCAATCAATTTAAATTTGTTTTAAAATACAGCAAAATTAAAATAAAAGCTTCAAAAAAGATTTTTCTTTTTTTAAATTCATTTTAAACCTTACACACACACACACACACACACACACAGATTATATATATATAAATAAGTGTTGACTTCAATGTTCGCTTTTATATTTACACACGCTCTATCTCTGATATTGAGCACTTTATCCCATAAATATAGCACACCTTAAGAGTATATTTCTTCATTATATATATACATACACACACTTATTTTTTGTTCTTTATTTATCTCTTTTAGACACATGATTGTATCTTAAGTCTGATCCCTGTATTTTAACTTCAGCCCGTAAAAAAAAAAAAATTTCTACGTCACCCTATCGACTCATGTTTAATTCTTCCATCTTTTTTTTTTTCCCTCCCTCTCACCACCAATTTAAAAAAAAATGTTATATTGAAATCTTTTTTTTCTTTCTTCCTCTTTTAATATAAAATCCCCCCCACTTCTCTCCCTCTTCCTTTGTCTGGCCAAATTAACTCCATTTATTAAAAACTGGTTTGAAGAGATGAATATTTGTATATATTCATGAAATAAATTATAACCAAATAGATTTTTAAGGATCATCTGTACTTATTATATTGCTCTGTTTCTTACATTGAGCTCTCTTTGGATTCATGTCCTCCTTGGAATTATCCCTACCAATTATCAGTGGTTAATATATGTGTGTGTGTAAACTGCCACTGATTGGATAAAAGCCCTTGTGGATTAAGATAAATCCATTTACTCAAGTGAATGAAATAGTGACATTAACAGGAAATACTTTTTTTAATTTACATTTATTCTTAAAGAAAACACAGAATCCCAACATGAAAAATAAGGAAAGAGGCCTTCTTACAGACAAAAAGAAAGTGAGAAATGTTCTGATCATGACATCCCATCGGGATATGAAGAAATGAAATAAAAGTCATCTTTTCTTTTTTTTTCTGGAAGAGGAAAAAAAAAAAAAAATCATCCATAAATTAGTAAAAAAAAAAAAAAAAAAAAATTGTTCACCTCAAATCAAGAATTTTTACTTGATATTTTTCTTATCCATCAAATAATTTCCCTGCAGTTTGTTAATTTTGACACAAAATCTTGTTTTGTTTATTTCTTCATGATAACAGCAGGAAAGATTACAAATAGGATTGCAATTGATTTACTCAAGACTTATCTTCATCTTTGTTATTTTCTGATTTCTTCTTTAATTTGATCAGTATCTTCTCCGACCATCACTAGGTGAGTTTTGTTTTTCTTTTATCACACATCACTGTCTAGTTGGTAGATATTTTTAACACAGTGTGAAAACAAGCACAAAGATGAGAATATACTTGTAAATTCTAACATGTTTCATCTCACTTATACCAAACTTTTTTTTTGCTGACACATAAAAAAAAAAAAAAGAAAAAAAGAAAAGAAAGATGTTCAATAGCTGCAAAGTAAATCAGTTTGCAGACTGTGACCGGGCTTTTTTAACATTGCACAACCATTTGATAATTCTTGCATTCCGCTCCACAATGGAGGTGTTCTGTGGGGAGTTCTGCTGACGATCCAATGTTTCGACATCTGACTGCCCTTTCTCACTTCGGGATATTCCGCTGCAGATGCTACGTGTGTCTGGAGAGTCTAGGGAGCTGAGCGTTTCGAAAAAATCTGCATCCTTCTGCACTGACTCCTCTTGCTGCCGAAGCATCGGGTCAAGTATTGTTCGATCAATGCCCATTTCATTGAAGAACTTTTCTAGCTCAACACTTGCCCTAGATAAACGTGAACCCATGCTAGGTATGTCAGATGTGCGTGTGTGCAGATAGGTCACATCTGATTGTGACCTATGAATGGGGCGCTTTTGACGGCGAAGAACCACCCCTTCAGAGTTTCGTTGTAAAGGTGGGTTCTGAAAATGCTGGGTTATTTTTTCAGGAAGCATATCTACGATGTCATCAACAGTGGCTGAATTGGGAAGGGGTAAATCCTCCAACTGGTCGATCATAGAAGTTGTCATAGGTAGAGATTTACTATGAATTGATGACCCCATTTCATCCATTTGTTGGGTAGGTCTGAGACTAGTATCCAACTTGAGCACTCCATTGGTTAGCCTTTGGTTGAGCTGACCATCAGATTCGGTAGTAGAACAGTCAATGTCCATAAGTGATGGGTTGCTGCAGCCTAGGAATGATGGCGAACTGAACTCCTCAGATGTCTTTAGCTGAGATAAATCATATTCAGATTTGGCACGTAAAGGCTGATTTGTTACAGGATGGGACAGCCTGCAAAATATAAGTAATATGTATTAGAAAAAGAATAAAAAGAAAATCTGATATTGTGTATATTCTGTATTAGAAAACACAATCTAACTTTATTTAATCATCACCATTCAGCTTGCTTCCTCTTTTGTAATGAGATATTTTGTTCTAAATGCCAATAAGTGAAAATTCATTACTTTTGTTTCATGTTAGCTTTCTTTGAATATTTTTACTTTTAATGATTTAAAAAGCAAAATTCTTATATCAGCCAATTTTTTTAAATCCTTCATGTAAAAATATAACCAATGCAATTGCAGATTTCCATAAATACTGACACCATTTTTTTTTTTTTTTTTTTTATAGTACATGTAAATTACATTAGTATAGAGGGGTTGCTGAAAGGTTCACATCCCAGCCAAAAAGACTTTCCAAAAAATCTAAAGACAGATTTTGGAAAGTGAATTGGTCCAAGAACTTTTCACTGTTCTGTACATGTGTGTGCACACACATGAATAGAAGCTTAATTAAAGGCCACAGACAAAGAATTTTTTTTAAATGAACTTTTCTCACTTGTATATAAATTGAATGTATGTTTGGATTCAATGATAATAACTATTATTTAAACATTTGGAATCTATTACCATCAAACATATTTCTGATCATGATCAAGATTAGAAGATAACTCTATAATGCGAGTCATTTCTTAAATTTGGCATTATATGACTTCCTAAAATCTAACGAAACAAGAAATTTCTTTTTTTTTTTTAAATGGCTTTTTAGTTGGATTAAAACTGTCGTTATAATGTAACTCTTTGTAATGTGTGTTATCATGACTGAGTGTACAATATGGCATGAAAGCAGAATTCTTCATTGGCATAAATATATCTATCAGTTGTTAAATACATACAAAATTCCATTTTTTTTTTTTTTTTTTACTATAAACATTGTACAATATATGCATATTGCTTAATGAGTATTTTGTGTATACTAGTAAAATATCAATTTTCTATATTCATTTATTTGAGCATGAATGTCACATTGACTGGATAAATGAGTGGTAGTTGGAACTATTTTTAGATTGTAAGTTTTTTTTGGGGGGGAGACAATAATGGTTTAATGATACAAGTCTTACTAATTAACCCATAACTGGAGGGAGAAGACATCAATTCATAAAATGCAAGTGAATATAACAAACTCAACAATCTCCAATTAACAATTCTGAGCCATTATCCATTACATCATCTGCACATCCAAGTGTACAACACCTGGTATTCCCAAATGGACACCCGTCTAGGTACTGACCAGACTTAATGTTGCTTAACTTTGTATGGGAACTGGTGTTTCAGTATAATGTGGCAATAAATCTATAAACATGCCTTATGTTACCATAATAACAGAATATCTCAGTAAGTAGAAGAGATCATTTTTTTTTAAAATTTCATGCTAGTTTTCTTCAGATAAGTCTTTCTTCCATGCACCAATAGATTTGTGTCGATAAAATTCCTAAATTACTCATTCAGAAAATACGGCCAATGCAACTGTAAACTTGTTTAAATAGTGCCATCATTTTCTGACAGCATTGATAAACTAGTAAATAAGATAAAAAGTTGTAAAGCATTAGAATTCAGTCTGGCAATTTATCAAACTTATGTAAACAATATGTTTGATCATATTGTACAGATTAATTATATTAAAATCAAAGTAATCTTGCTTTGAATGCAATAAATCATACACACTGAATTCATTTTTTTTTTCTGCTAAAGTTCACCCAGTAGAAGGCTAGAGAGCCGCTCAAGGTAGAGAGTTACTTTCAAAATGATTACGATGAATGAAACAGGTGGTGTTAGGCTAGATAATAACTGACCCTTGATTTGAAGAGGTTAAGATGTGGTGTTGAGAGACAAATCTTCTTGGGGGGGGGGTCTGTTCCACAAAACAGCAGTACTTGGGGGTGGAAAAAAACTGAGTGGAACTTTATCCTTACATTTGGAATACTGAGGAAATAAAACAGATTTGTGTCTTATTTGTAAATGTCTTAAATGGTTGAATTAAAGAATGAAACTCATTTGAACATTGAAAATATAACCATTTGAAACATGTAACTCGATAAATCCAAACAAAATAAAGCCAACTCTAATGAACCAATTCTTATTAAAAAAAAAAAAAAAAAACACACCTTATGGAGCATAGGGCGTAAACATTCATGTGATGTTTTTTTCTTTTTTTATAAATGTTCATGTTACAAGGCCCAACAGCCACTCAGTCGAGAGTTACTGATGGAGGTTGTTGTAAGAGCAAGAGGTAAAAAGTGCAGTTTATGAAGATATATAGGAAAGATAACAGTTAACTCTAGACTTGAAATGATTAAGATTGTAGAGGTCAGGAAAGCATCCTCTTGGGAGTCTGTTCCACAAAGTAAGGGTTTGTGGGAATAAGCTATTCAAGTGGAACTTCCTTCTTACAAATGGAATGTTACTGTGGTTTCAGTAACAAGTGAATTTTTATTAGGCCAGGATGCTAGCCTATTGCCCAAGATGGACTGCTTTTAAAAAGCTAATGAGCTCCAACTGATCTACTGTTTATTTATTTTATATATCTGGGGTGAGAAGTGGATTCCTGTCTTTCTCCAAGGGCATTGGTTCAAACTGTCCTAGATAAAAAAAAATAGTTAAGCCACCTGCAGCTCCTGATAAATATAGATAAATTACTCATCTGTGGGATCTGATTGTCACCTGATCCCAGAACCAAAACCTGATATTTTATCAAGCCATTATAACATCTTGTGTATTGGCTAATTTATTTGTCATTTAACAAAACATTTACAATTTTTTTTTTTATTCCAGCCTAGAAGTATACAACAAATGCCAAATCAAGAAGCCAGTGTTAGATTTGAGTTTTACAAGTAACTAATTAATTTGACATTTGCTTTATATATTTGCTGTCAACAAGTAAATCTCTAGAAAAATTTAAGTTTCCCTCTGTTATTTGTAAGAGGTATGTTTGCAACAGATTTGTATACATAGACTATCATAGTAGTAGTAAGGGACAGGTGACACTTATGAACAATGAAAACTGTTTAAAATAATTTTGTTTACTTTAATTATCAGGTTGATGAACAACTCTTGTCTACCTAGACATTTTCAGAATATGCTATTAAAATATATCTTTTTATATAATCATAAATAACTTTCTTTTCTGGGAGGTTTACAGCTATATCACATTGAAATGCTGGTTCCCATATGATCACCAAAGTTGAGCAATGTTGAGCCTGGTCACTATCTAAATAGATGACCAAGTTTGGATGTGCAGATGGTGTAATGGATAATGGCGTGATATTGTTAATTGGAGAGCAGAGTTCCTATTCCAGTTGGACTTGCAAAGTGTTGATAAGCCCTAGAAAATGAATCAAACAATATTTGTTGGAAAATTTGCACATTATATATGTTCAGAAGTAATATTTGGTTAAATTTTAAATATTACTTTATACTGGATTACGCAGTATTTGTGTGTAGATAAATATAAATAATTGATCATCTCTACTCAACAGTCATCAAAAAAATATTTTAAAAGATTAATGTATTAATGGATAACAGATTGGATTGAGGAATCGGAGAGCCGAGTCCGAATTCCAGTTGATTCCATTACATTCACTTACATGCTAATACCCTTGGGAAAGGTATGAATCCTCCTCTCCCCCTAGCTATGGGTAAATAGAAGGACAACCTTGGATGGCAACTTGTCTACCACAGAAAGAAATGGCAACCTACTGTGGGGAAAAAAATCTGCCTCGTCAGTTATGTATTGAAAGATACATGATCACCTAAGTGTGTATCGTGCATGGCACATAACTGACTGATGTCCTGAAATTTAAAAAAAAAAAAGAAACATATGCATTAAAAACAGACCAACTTGATAAATTTAGTGAAGCATATTGGAAAATGTATACTCGACTAATGTTATCCTTAACAAAACTATTATCACTACATGCACTGAATCCATAAAAATAGCAAGTGTATAAATAACATCAAATTCTTTAAATCAAAGCTTTTCTTTCACTTCCTGCATTTGTAGTTATCCAGAATTTAAAGAAAAAAAAAAAAAGTAATCAACAATTAGTAAAGGGGTAGATTAACTGAAAAAATTGGGGTGAGGAGCAAAGTAGGGGAATTGCAGATTCCAGAGTCAATGAGTCAGTAGTCTCTCTTCCCAGACTTCTTTTTTCAAATTATTGATAATTAATTCCGAATTCTTAATTTTTATAATTAATATATCCAACTATATTTGCAGGTAAGTTAAAATATTGTCTTAAATAGAATTAATAACTGATATGAAGAGATACAAATAATTAAGTCCCAAAGAAATTAAAATTTTTAAATGTAATCTTAATATTTTATTTAAAACAAATTTAATTTAAAATTTAGTCATGTTATACTTCAGAAATTAAACTGTTCTTGATGTATATAAAAAATAATTTACTGTTGATGCTTGAATAAATTGTGAAAATTAAGAGAACCCCCAGATTTTATTTGAAAACTAATTTTATTAAAATTCAACAACATAAAAAAAAGCATGGCATGAAAAATTAATCTTGATTGTGTACTCAGTTCCTACTTAATTTTTATTATTAGTTGAACCACCTTTCATTAAAATTTTAAAAACTGTAATTTATATATATATGATGTAGTACTATATATATATATGATGTGATGTAGTACTATATATATATATACATATATACATGATGTAGTACTATATATATATATATATATATACATATATACATGATATATATATATATATACATATATAATGTAGATACAATATATATATATATATAGCATATATATATATATATATAATGTAGCACTATATATATATATAGCACTATATATATATATATAAGCACTATATATATATATAGCACTATATATATATATATATATATATATATATATATATATATATAGCACTATATATATATATATATATATAGCATATATATATATATATATATATATATATAA